TGGGGAGGAAGGCAGCAAATCACACTGCCATGTGTGTACCTATGCAACAATTTTGCATGTTCTTCACATGTACCCCAAAACCTAAAATGCAATAAAATAAATAAATGGAAAAAAAGAAAAAAAAAAGAAAAAAAAATTAGTTCAAACATTGTGGAAGACAGTGTGGCCATTCCTTAAGAATCTAGAAATAAAAATACCATTTGACCCAGCAATCCCATTACTGGGTATATATCGAAAGGATTATAAATCATTCTATTATAAAGGCATGCATATGTTTATTGTGGCACTGTTCACAATAGCAAAGACTTGGAACCAACCCAAATGCCCATCAATGATAGAATGGACAAGGAAAATGTGGCACATATATACCATGGGATACCATCCATCCATAAAAAAGAATGAGTTCATGCCTTTGCAGGCACATGGATGAAGCTGAAACCATCATTCTCAGCAAACTGACACAAGAACAGAAAACCAAACACCACATGTTCACTCATAAGTGGGTGTTAAACAATGAGATCACTTGGACAAAGGGAGGGGAACATCACACACTGGGGCCTGTCAGGAGGTATGGGGCTAGGGTAGGGATAGCAGGCGATGGGGGATAGGGATAACATTAGGAGAAATACCTAATGTGGATGACGGGGTGATGGATGCAGCAAGCCACCATGGCACGTGTATACCTATGTTAACAAACCGGTACGTTCTGAACATATATCCCAAAACTTAAAGTATAATTAAAAAAAAGAAAAAGAATGACCTTTTCTGCATAAACTACTATCCATTTCTTCTGGGGAGAATATCTTTTAAGAGAGCAGATGCATGGCATGTAAGTGCATTATAGAATTTTCCTAAATGCGTCCTCTAAGCTGTCTGAGAGAAGGGCTTTCAGGATGACTGACTTCCCGTTCTGACAGGTGTAGGCTTGAGCCAGCAGTTCACTGAGTATGCTCTCTCTCTTTTCCTCTCTTCCTCTTTCTATCTGTTCCCCTCTCTGCTGCTGCTCTACCTCTCTCTCATTCTTCTCTCCCAACTTCTTCCTTCTGCTTTTTCTTTCTTCTCTTTCTTCCGTTATACTTTTTTGATTTTTAAAATTGCTAACTTAATACATGTTAATCATATTAACTGTGGAAAATTTAGAAAACATAGAAAACCATAAAGAGGGAAATTAGCAAAATCACCTGTAATCCCATTTCACAGAATGAATGCTTCGTGTTGATGGGAGTGGAAAGAAGTGTGTGTGTATGCACAGCCATGTTTGCACACATACATGTATAATTACGCAAGATGACTAGCATTAATTTTTGATTAATAAGACCAATCAAGCTGATTGTTCTTAACTAGTAATTCTCTTTTAAGATATGCAATATTGGCCAGGCGCAGTGGCTCACACCTGTAATCCCAGCACTTTGAGAGGCTGAGGTGGGCAGATCATAAGGTCAAGAGATCGAGACCATCCTGGCCAATGTGTTGAACCTCGTCTAATACAAAAATT